CTTGCAGGCCGGCGAAGTGCTCCAGGGTGGTGCCCTGGGTGATGAGCAGCGCCTCCCTCCGTTGAGGGAAGGCCTCATTACGGTCTTGGCTGTCAAGGTGAGTCAGGGCTGCAGAAAGGAGCAGCGCGAAACGTTTTCTGGCGGAAGGTGAAGCCGTGCTCGGTAGGAGAGAGCCTGCTGTGGTCTCTGGTTATGGGATCCCCTAGGCTTGTGGTGTAGCATCACTTCAGTGGCACATGGCTACAGTTGTGCTCACGTGAACTCTTTTCCTCTAAGATGCGGTTGTGTGGTGGGCCGTGTTGTCCTTGTCTGTTTCTGCTTCCTTTCTTTCACCCAGTTAGGTGGTTGTCAAGCAGTGGAAGGGAGAGAAATGCAGAATATGTTTTTGGGGCTGTGGGAATAGGGGTTAAGAACTATTAGGATGAAGTATCTGTGGCATTACTTTGTGCACATTCTTTTTCAGGTGTCTGCTCATTGGGAAAACCGTTCTGTTTTGAGCTGTTACAGTTATGAGCGGAAGCTTTCAGCTCACTCTCTGGGGGCAAATATGCTGATAGTTCTCTGCTAACCTTGAAAGCAGTTCTGAGTAGCATAAATTATGGGTCATGCTACAGATTACAAATGAAGGGTCATGCTACAGATTACAAATGAAGCCTAAAACATTATATTTTAAGCTTCAGCATGCATTGAACATTCGCCTTCATTTCTAGAAGTGCTTAGGTTATGTTATTGTCTCGTCACAGAATCACAGATGGTTGAGGTTGGAAGGGACCTCTGCAGATCATCTAGTCCAACCCCCTTGCTCAAGCAGGGTCATCTAGAGTATGTTGCCCAGGATCGTGTCCACGTGTTCTTTGAATATCCGCAAGGAAGGAGACTCCACAACCTCTCTGGGCAACCTGTTCCAGTGCTCAGTCACCCTCACAGCAAAGAAGTTTTTCCTCAGATGCAGATGGAACTTTCTGTGTTTCATTTTGTGCCTGTTGCCTCTCGTCCTGTCACTGGGCACCACGGAGAAGAGTGTGGCTCCATTCTCTTGACAAGAGAGGAAGGGATTCTCTTGACTATCCCTCCCTTCAGATAGTTTTACACATTGATCAGATACCCCTTGAGCCTTCTCTTCTCCAGGCTGGACAGGCCCAGCTCTCTCAGCCTTTCCTCATAGGAGAGATGCTCCAATCCCTTTATCATCTCTGTGACCTTTGCTGGACTCTCTCCGTAGTGCCTTGTCTCCCCTGTACTGGGGAGCCCAGAACTGGACACAGCCCTGCTGAGGCCACATCTGGAGCACTGAGTGGAGGGGCAGGATCTGCTCCCTTGACCTGCTGGTGACACTCTTCCTATTGCAGCCCAGGATACCCTTGGCCTTCTTGGCCACAAGGGCACCCTGCTGCCTCATGACTGGTGCATGGGATTATTCCTGCCTAGGTGCAGGACCCTGCCCTTGCCTTTGTTGAACTTCATGAGGTTCCTCTCCGCCCGGCTCTCCAGCCTGTCCAGGTCCCTCTGAACGGCAGCACAGCCCTCTGCTGTCTCAGCCACTCTTCCCAGTTCTGGATCATCAGCAAACTCTGTCCCTTCCTCCAGGTCATTGATGAATATATTGAACAAGACTGGACCCAGGACTGACCCCTGGGGGTCTAGGCCTCCAAATAGAATCTGCGCCGTTCACCACAACCCTCCGAGCTCTGCCATCCAGCCAGTTCTCAAGCCACCTCACCATCCACTCATCCAGCCCACACTTCCTGAGCTTACCTAGGAGGATGTGATGGGAGACAGTGTCAGAAGCCTTGCTGAAGTCCAGGCAGACAACATCCACTGCTCTGCCCTCATCTACCCAGCCAGTCGTTCCATCAGGGAAGGCTATCAGATTGGTCAAGCATGATTTCCCTTTGGTGAAACCATGCTGTCTCCTGTTTCTTCTTCGGTGTCAGTGTCTCAGTTCTTGTCTGTGTATCCAGTGTCTGGTATTGTGGGAGAACAGAAAAACAAATGATGAATTTCATTATAGATGTGGGGTGTTGCTGATCGTACTAACATTATTAATTTGTCTTGAATTTGTATGCTAGTGCTCGGTCCTTTCCTGTAGTTGCTATTGCACTATTGTGGTAGGCCTGCTGCATGCACAGAATGAAAGATAATATCTGATATAAGAAAAAAAATACCTGATAACAGACTAACGTTTTAGCTTCTTGTAGCTAAAGAAGGTTACAATATCCAGTCCATCAATTTGGAATACAACAGAATTCACAGACTTCTTGCAGAACTAAAGGCCCATATGCATCATATGGATTGGACTTGACTGGAATCCCCTTCTGTGACTGCAGTGCAGGAGGCAGCTGGAATCAAATGCAACAAACTTAGCTAAATTCCTTCTGTCTGATTTCCTTCTCCTTTTCTTTTCTTTTCTTTTTTTTTTTTTGAGGCACAAAGTAATACGAAGTCTTACTTAAGTCAGTGGGAACATCATCATTTTTTGGCTGGATCTAACATTTCATTCTTTATAGTCTTTTCTTGGGAAGACTTCTGTGGCAAGTAGGATTTTATTCCATGTTGTTTTAATGTGTCATTTCTTTCGCCTTGAGGTTTTCTTATAAAATAATGTTTGAGGAATGAGTCTTAACAATGTAGACTTGATAGAAAATATAATTTGTTTTATTTAATACAATCTTTAGGTGGGTTTAAGCAAGTCTACTTTTTTAATATGACATAGTATTTATAAGGTTTGAGAAGTAAATTTATTGTGTTTCCTAGAACATATGACAGCTGTGAGGTACGTCCAGGACCCAACTTGAACATGATCGTAGGCGCTAATGGAACAGGCAAATCAAGCATTGTTTGTGCCATCTGCCTGGGGCTGGCTGGAAAACCTTCTTTTATAGGGCGAGCTGATAAAGTGAGTACAAACTTTTATAACGTTGATGTTTAATCTGAATTTCATTGAGGTCTGCAGAAGGAGAAAAGATCATCTTCATTGATTTGCTGTTTTTTTTTTTAATAAAATGTGAGGTGTCTGAATTGTAGAATAACCCAGATCCAGGGCAATAGCTTTTACCAAAGGGATGGCCTTACTTAACTGCTTGTTATCTTGGCTGAATTGTAGTATGGGAACACCTGAATTCTACTGGAACCTTAATAGACTAGATGTTACCTTCTGAAGACATCTAAGTCTTCACAGTGGGGTAAGAAAATGCCTCCTGTTGCATAAGTAACGTTCAAATAAGAATACCAACTAAACTTAAGGTAAAATTAGAATTAAGTCTAACATATTTTTCCAAATGTATAGGATCAGTAAAAGTCATCGATATGTCATTGATGTGTCTGAGAATTTGTCTGAAAGCCTGCAGCTGTTCATATTTGATTTAAATGCAAGCTGGATGATTTTGGAATAAGTGTTCCCATTATCTTTAATCGGACTATCACTTTTACTCGCAAGAGATAATGTGTTGACATCACAGTAGGAATTTCATTTGCGCTATCAGATTTTTAATTTTTTCCTCTTCCTTTTTTGGATGTTCTGGTTACATGGAGTATGTTTCACTAGACCTTTGGAGCACTAAATCTGGGTACTTAAATGATCTTACATATTCTCTGGTTACAGCTCAGTCCTGAGCAAACGGAAATATAGAAATTGTCTGCATGGCAGCACTGCATCTTGGTATTGTTTATTGGCCTTCATATTTATATACTTTTTATGCTGTTAGAAAAAACATTTGGCAGTTTTCTTCATTTGCATTGCCTCTGTTACCTGAATTCGTGGAAACTCCTCCTTCTCTCTCGATCCTTTGATTATAATTTGTTCGGTGTTGGAGGTTGAAACTGGTCAGAAATTGTTAATCTGCAGAAGAAGGGCTAGTACTGCTAGTTAATGAAAAAGTTAATAGTGTCTTCCTTTATTACTAGTTGTTGTTAATAGGCAGACAAAATGAATCCTACTTTTTAACTGTCAATTTTCTGTAAAAATATTCCTTCACATGGACTGTATTATACAAATGCACCTTTTTGTATGAAATTATATTTTAAGTAAGTGTTAATTTGCAATAATAATGTCTGTAACTCATTTTGTAGGTTGGTCTCTTTGTAAAGCGAGGATGCTTGAAAGGTGTGGTAGAAGTTGAACTGTAAGTACTAAAATTATATTTTTTCATGCATTTTTAATTAGATTATTTTCCCACACAGTCTTTCACAAAGCTGTTTAATAAAATCTAGTGTACTGAGGTCTTTTTTGAAACAGGTTTTTCTTTTTTTTTTTTTTCAGACTTCAAAATTTTAAGCTTAAAAACCTGTCTCCCAAGAAATGATGAGTGATGGCAGGTCCTGATTTTTCACTTTCTGAAATGTTTTGCTTCGTCTTGATGTATATAGAATGTATAGAGAAAGAATGACTTAGGCAGTATGTTTAGCTTTTGATTAAGATACAGATGATTCAGATACAGTCAGTACTACCGTTGTAATGTAGTGGTGGTTTAAACAAAGGGTCTCTCAAAGAATTTTGAAATTCTAAAACCAAATGTTCTGCTTGCACTTTCTCATATTGATACTGCTGATTTGAGGGGCTCATTTACATTCTTAGTGAAGACACCACTTACTGAAGTAAAGCATAAGGAAAAAAAGTAGATCTGGCTAATTTGAAATAATGCAGTCTTCTAGATAAACTTTCACAGAACAGAGCAACTGAAACATCTTTTGGACTTAGTCTATAAAATTATATCAGGCATTTTTGAAAGTGTTAATTTTGTGTGCTTGCATGTAATTAAATGGTATAATTTAGGAACAGGAATATTAGATTCCTACTTTTAGGAATAATGTAGTGTCTGTAAAGTGAGAGGTGTTTTTTGTATAAAGACATCCCTAGTCATCATTGGACATGGGACTGTGGAGCTATTTTATGCTGAAGATTCAGATTTTTGTGATACCTCAGAAGAAGATTCTAAAAGAATGTTTACTTACGATTACAGAGTAATATTACATGCTTCCTAAATGTATTTTGTCTTGGTATCTAAAAATAGACTATCCTAGGAGACTTCCTCAATGGGTGCCTTTTGGTGCAGATTTTAACTTGAAGCTGTAGTATCACAAGTTATTTAGATAAGCCTTAACATGGTCTCTCTGCCTAAACTAAGCGAAACTTAGAACTAATCAGCTGATTAAGGTTCCGAGTTAACTTGTATAAAAATTGGGCACCCTGATCAAATTGTGTAAAAAGATAATTGGATAAATTAAAAAAAGGTGGGCTGGCATAAGTCTTTGGAAAATTCTATTCGCATTTATTCTTGTGGAAACAGTCAAGTCATTCGGTCTTTGGAAACTGGCCATTCAGTGGGTCAGCAGGTGGTACTTCTTTCTGGGAGGATGAGCCTGTGCTACCTGTAATACATTGTGATATTAATGGAAAAGTCTCTGGAGAGAGACTTACGTCATGTGGAGACTGACTGTAATGGTTGCAATGAGTGTGTTTCCTTTTCTTTCTTTTTTTTTCCCCTCTAATACCTTAAAGAAATCTCATCTAAAAACATATATATCTGTATGTCAGATGGCAGAAGTAAGCAGTGATTTTTCTCAGGTAAACGAAGATGCCTTACAAAGAGCTTCCTTCTTTAATGTACTTCCTTCTCTCGGTACTCACTGTAGTAGTTGGATTCTCAGTCCTTTAGCTAATTTAGTCCTTTATCTAATGGGTAGAAAATATTTAAATGGAAGGTATGGTATAGGAGAACAATGATGTATAAGAATACTTGCTGATGGGAATGTTGGTATCTTTTAAAATTTGACTGATATAAGCATGCACTGTGTTGGGTGAATTTAGCCCTGCGATTGTAGCTAAAATGAAATGTTACAATAGTAAGGAGTTCTTGATTGTTAAAAGGAAAGAACATGGTTTCATAGGTCTTTTGAATGAGGTGATGGTTGTTTGTGAGGGAATAGTTAATCATATAGTCTTCAAGAAGTAGGTTCATATCCTTATGGCGCTTGTTCCAAGCGCTGGAAGCTTTTCACTTCTATTTTGAACTCTGTTCTAAAGTTTCCTAAAGTACATGACCTCCAAAATGTCTCCTAAGCTTTGTCTTCCCTCTTTAACAGTATGCTAACTGAATAGGTACTAGACAAATTTCCAAACCGAAGCGGTGACCAAAGTTTCTGGAGTGTATTACCACCTCATTATTTTTTTGTTACTGATCCGTCTTAGCTCCAACTAAATTTTTGAAGATGTGTGTTGAACTAGGAAACTAAACGTGGACATCAGGACAAGGGATAACGTTTTTGCTGTTCTTTAAAAGTAGAAAATGAAAACAAATTAGTATTTTTCATACTGTATGATGCCAGACTTTTAATACAGTAACTCTTTAACCTATTTTGTTGACATTAATCTCTGTGGGTTCTCAAAAGTGTGAATGCTCCTTTTGTTTTCAGGTCCAAGACACCTACCAATATCATTATCACACGGGAGATTCAGGTGGTGAACAACACGTCAACATGGTTTATCAACAGAAAGCCATCAACTCTGAAAATGGTAGAAGAGCAGATTGCAGCCTTAAATATCCAAGTGGGCAATTTGTGCCAGTTTCTTCCTCAGGTATGAAAGAATTTTGAAAGACAGTGGATGCAAATGGAGCACTATATTTTGAGAGGGTTTTGCAGCTTCTAATTGCTGCATCTTGCAGCACTTCTGCAATTTAATAGGATCATAAAAAGAATGAGAGGGAGGAGGTAGCCTTGCTGGTGTGGTGGTAAAAGAAAGAAGGAACTGTGTGACCTTTTCGAGCTTGCTAATTAGACAGTTTTGTACATGCTGTCAGTTGAGGCTGAGAGGAAAGCTAACGATGTTCCCTGTGTTGTTGCTTGGGTAGCGGCAGAGGCAGTGATGTCTCTCAGTCCCACTACTTCTGCTGTAGGTCTTCTTAGATAACAAGTCTGAAGAGAAATTTGTGGTCTTGAGGTCTCCCAGCACCTTCTCTGTGCTTTTATCTGCATAGCTCCCGCAATCCTGCGTTGCTCGCTTTCCCGGTCAGTCTTTGTGTGTGCTTCTCACTTATTATATCCAGTCAGTTCCTCAGGGTTAGATCCTGTGTTTGATAATTGAAGGGGAAGAGTTGTGTAGATCTATTTCTCCAAAAAGCAAAAAATTGACACAATTCAATTAAATGACCCTACAGCTGCAGAAGGGCCTGCTACCCCAGCCCTGTTGGTTAACTTCTGTGGTTCAACAGTGTTTTTGAGAATAGGGTAGAATGTAAAGGTATTCAGGATCAGAATTATGTAAAAGTGAATTTATCCTGATGGAAATAGCTCCTAAGGGGAGGGAGAAGACTAAAGAATACTACATGCTGCTTCTGTAGCTGAATCCATCCATCTGTGCTCAGACAGGTTAGGGCTTCTGTGCAGATAGCTAAGTTGCTTCACAATTGCATGGGTTCCATCCTGAGTCCTTCCCAGTTCGTGTGGCTCACCAGAGATGTTAGTAAAATGAGGCCTTATCAGAGCTTAGCCAAGCATGCATTTGCTTTTTTGTTCAAGGAGAAAAACATTCAAGAAGACGTGCTGAAGAAGTTAAAATTTAGAAATTCAGAAATAGAAATATAGAAATAGAAATTGTAACTCTTGTATTTAGAACAGCTTTTTTTTTTTTTTTTAGTACATAAATATCAGTTTGATGAATACTACTGAGCTGTACATTTGGTTAATTTGCTCTCTGTCACTCTAGCAAAGGGAAGCATATCGTTTACTCCAGTCTTGTTTTGAGCTCTGCCTTAGACAGCAGCAGTGGTTCATAGTATCCTTGGCTGACAGACTTAAGATTAACTTTCACATTACTTAATTTTTGAGTTAAACATAGCGTTTATACTGGAAAGGTGTGACCTCAGCAGCTTGAGAACCAACGTGAGGAATACAGTGGAATAAAATCTGAAATTATCTGAACTGAACTATCTTGTTCAGAAAAATGACAGTGAACAGAAAAACAAACAAGCAACCCTCCTACCCTTCAAGCAACTACCTCAGAAGCTGCCACCAAAGCCAAACAGCTGAGGACAAGAAAACAGTTAAGGTTTAAGCTTAAATTAGGCCAGAACTGGTCCAGCAAAACCATACATGAAATCCATACAGATGTTTAAGAGGGTCAGGGTTGCTGTTTTATAAGATGGTCATGCTATGCTTTACTTTCAGAGCTATGTGACATGGAATTGTAAATCAGGTGATAGGGATGAGAAGTAGTTTGCTCTACTTAAATCCAGCGTTGTTGTACTACTCTAACTAATAACGTATTTTTATAACTTTTTGTTTTGTAGGACAAAGTTGGAGAATTTGCAAAGCTGAGTAAGATCGAGTTGCTTGAAGCCACTGAAAAATCTATTGGTCCTCCAGAAATGTACCAGTTTCACTGTGAACTGAAAAACTTCAGAGAAAAAGAAAGAGAGCTGGAGGTATACATGCCCGTTATAGAGACACAGAGAACTAAATATAGGAAAATTAGCGTGATTAAATTTAATGTGAGATCTTTCGGCAGTGTATTTATTTACTAAGTGTGTAAGTAAGTTGATTTTATCTGCTCATGCTCATCTTCCCTCAGATTTCACTCTCAGATTTCACTCACACACTCACATATTCACAAGCGCTAGAACACATCTGTCCAAGTGATCTGGACATGGATGACAAGGGATGTCTCTGGTCAGGTCCTCATTGCTTCTCTGGAATTCTTGATTGGCAATAACAAACTGTGTTATGGACAGATCTGGGCATCAGCTGTTAGTGGGTGCTTAGGATTTGCCTCAGTCGTGCTGACTTCAGCCTCCATAAATTTTGGACGAGATTGCTAACCATTGTCTGTTTTTCTTTGTTTGCAATATAACTGATGTGCTAACAGGAGAAGGCCTGGTGTATGCGATGGGCTGCAACCTCGTTACCTTCGTCCTGATGTGAGGAGGCAGGGTCTTTCTCTGACTGTCACTTACGCTGTAGTCTTACCAGAGCGCGGGCTTTTTGATCTTGACAGAAGTAACATGTTCTTCAGTTTTACTGCTGGGAGCAGTGTCCTTCATTATCTGTACGAGCCATTCTTATATTCTTTTATTCTGATGTTTCTTCTTGTGCCTGTGCACACACAGGTTTTTTCAGTCATACGTACTGCCAGCCTTAATATTGGAGTTACAGATCTCTTCAGGATCTTTCATCAGTATTTTTGCTGCTTGTATTTAGCTGAATCAGTTGGAGCTGTTTAGAAACTTCTAGATTAATTGAGGTTTGAACTGTGGGAATAACTCCATCGTAAAAAAAGCTTTTTTGAAAGCTTTTCTGCAGGTTAACACTGTTGTTAGATGTGCTTTCAGAGAAAGTGCGTGTACTTTTCAAGTACCATAAAGGTGCTTGAAAAAACTAGACATCTATTCTTAGTTGGATTGTTACCCTCTAATTACTGCTACGCTAAAATGTCCTGCTTCGTTAATGTGCGGGTGAGATGTGGATTATTTCTAAAAAGTGTTTTCACAGAGTACATACTGCAAAATAAGAAAATATGTATTCTTACAGAACTTGTGCAAAGAGAAGAGTAATTCTTTGGAGAAAATGAAACAGAGGATTGAACGATACAAACAAGATGTTGAGCGATACCATGAACGCAAGCGTCATTTAGACTTAATTGAGATGCTTGAGAGGAAAAGGCCTTGGGTGGTAAGCTTTTATTTTATCTTCAGTCTTTCTCTGAAGTAACCAACTTTTCCTAAAATTGCAGTATTGGTAATGTGCCAGCAGTGTCTTTAAAAATTAACTTGGCCAGAGTAGCTTGAACATCACCAGAACTGCTTGGGGCAAACAGGACAGATCTTGAAATACTGTTCTTGGACAAACTTTGATCAGAGGTTTTCTTGGACGTGTAGATAGACTTAAGAAGTTTCTACTCATTTAGCAGAGGCAGCAAAATGGGCCAAAAGCAGTATTTCTTTTATTCCTTGCAAAGATGATTTAATTTAAACTGTCTCTAGCTAGTTCCACTTAGTTTTTTCCAGCTGTAACTTCTATTTTGTTTTCAGGAGAAAGACAAGTTGCCTTCTCCCTTCACTAACTGTAGTTCATTAACTGTTAGGTTAGGTGTTTATAGCCTAAATCATGGTGAATATAGGCTTCTCATCTCAAAAATGGAAGAATTTTGAGAGATGGAAATTTTAAATATATCTAAAAGAGTCTAAAATTAAGGATAGGGGAGGTACACAAAGCAAAATAAGACTTGCTGAATGGCATGTTGACAGTTCTTGGTTATTTTAATGATGAATGATCACTTAGACTAAATTATTACAAAACGGCCTCTGTTTGAGAATGGAGCATGAGTTTAAGCTGATGCAGTTTTTATTATACTGAGGTGGTATGTTATTTGCTCTGTTGGCATGCTGTATGGATTTTATGAAATACAGATACAGAAGGTTTAAAAACATTCCGATAATACTTGCAGAAGATGCAGAAAACTTCTTGAAGGTATTTCATGGCAGTTTTGCAAAAGCCTCCTATGGGTATACAAAGATCTTTGTCCCTTGTATCTTGAAGAGCAGGTGGATTCAAGGTGTGTGGCTTTACTGCCTTCAAACCACTGTGCGGGCAGCACAGAGGGATAGGAGCAGCTATCAAAATTGTTGGAAAGGGGCAGTGCTAAGGAGGTGGGCTGTATTTCCTCTGTGCCATTGGGGATTGACTTCTGCACTTGCTAAATGATAGGAATTTTTCCTACTACAGATGCAGTAGCCTGGCTTAGTTAAGAAGAAAAGAGATACATATTTTATCAGTAGAGATGTAGGTTGTGCGTAGTTAATATGCAGTGATTGACTGATTTTTCTCCCCTGTAAAATATTGGTAGATACAGATCTCTGAAAGCTGGTCAGAGACTATGGGGCAAAACTAAGTTACAAATCTTATCCGGTATGAGTTGAATTGTCTTCCATAAGCTTGCAAACATTGCCTTTATTTAGGTGTTTCCTAAGCAAATTTAGGCAGACTTGGCCACACCTAACTCTTTCACTGCTCTCTTCTAGACAGATTCCCTGCCTTTTGGCAGGCACACTCCGTCAGGAAAAAAGTGACTTTTTGTCGCTGAGTCTGTATGAAG